GACCATCTCTCCATGGAGCTCATGAGAGGGGACAGAGCCCAGGCACAGGAAGGAGCAGACATGCAAAACTACTGCTGGTGCTTTAAACCTGCTGAGCTGGTGCTAACCAGCAACAGGACTCCTGCACACACAGGGCTGCTGTAGCTTGTGTAAATGTAAGTTTGCACTGCATGAGCTCAGGCTCTTACAAGCTGGTGCCCCTCTTGCATTCATAGCAAGGAAAAGCACAAAACAGGTGGATTGTTTTGCTCAGAGCTGTGACCTGAGGCAGCGACAGAATTCATCATTCCTGGTCTCACTCAGCTCCTCTGACCATCAATCCACGCTGTGACCAAGGCAGGTCCCTTTGAAAAGCCAGAGATGGGTGAATACCTCATGATCATTTCAACTTTCATCAGAAGTTTGTTCAAGATGGAGAGAAATGAGACTTGGTGCAGAGGGCTGTGAATTCCAAGGCATAGAAGGGATTTGGATGATTTCAGCTCTTTGCTCTCAGTCATGTTCCTGGCTGGAGAACTGGCTGGTTGCATGTGTATCCCAATGACCTGGTCACCCTGAAGGGTGCTTCACAATAAGGTTTACTGGCATGGGACACAGAAGACTCGTGTCCCTTTTCTTTCCTTCACAATGTCCTGTGAACATTGGACAATCACTCTGCTTTGCTTCTTCATCTGCAAGAAGAAAAATAATCCTATTTCCCACCTTAAGGGAAGGTTGTGGAGACAACTGCCAAATATCACAGTAGTGGAAGTGCTCAGACATCACTGGAATGGAAGCCATGTGGAAGCCTAACAGGGCCTGATTTCTGACCCTGTAACTGGTGCTGTGCATATTTGACTTTTCTTTTTGGTGTAGCAAAAATAATAGTTTGCACACCTATTTCCCATATGGGAAATTAAGATGTGTTTCTGTGGGTGTTGAGGGTACAAAGGAAATATGTGCTGAAGTGTGCAAGTGTGAAATTAAAGGATAGATCAGAACAGGCAATTCTAATTGAAAAAGGAGCGGGATCAAAGATTTGATCCCATTTAATTGTCTTTTCCTCACCAACCTCTGATATTTTTTAAGCAGCTGTTCACTGAAACTTTCTGCTGTATGAAGTTCCTTTATAAGGAATCAGCAGGTCATTAAAATAGTTGGGGAAATAAGTAGAAAAATATGTTATGTGTTTTTATGTTTTATCTTCATCCTGTCTGATGGAATTTAATGTGGCTCCACCTGGGGTGATGTTGATGGTGCTAAAACAAACCCAGTGGGAAGACGCAGTCACAGTCATTGCTGGTGTTGCCTCATGGCAGTCATTGCTGTGCCTCACCAGACTTACCAAGACACTTAAAAACACACACCTTCAGGATTTTTCCAGGATCTGTATAAACTCTGTGAACATTGTAATGGGTGGAGATTGGCAGAATTTTATGGAGAGGGACTTGTGGCAGCTCTGGCGAGCCCCAGAAATAGGAAACATAAAACTCCCTTTGCTTTGACAACTCCTTTATGTCACCCCAACACAGGCTGCTCCTGCCAGCCTGATCAGTGCCTTGTGTTCCTGACTGCTTGGGCTGGTTCTCTGCTACCATATCTGCAAGGAGTCCTCAAATGTTATTCTTAATTTTCTCCAATGATGTGTGTCTTGATGTTGGCGATGCCAAAACGATAGAGAAAGTAGGATAAGGAAGGAGAGAAGGTATGTTGATATTTTTGCCTTTAAGTTCTCAAAATAAATTAAGGAGAAATATTTATCTTTATAGTATTTCAAATCCACTGTATTGCTTCATCTGTGTAAGTCTGCTCTCTCTGTAGTGTCCTATTTAGCTCCAGTAAGTCACGAGCATATTGAGGGCAAATAGTTGGTACAAATCTGACAGAAAGCTAATGAGCTCTCCTGTGATTATCAGTAAGGACTATGACTCATTAAATCTCATTTCCTGAGAAAGTCCACATAAGAAGAAGAAATTATCTGGAATAAGGGTCTAAAAACCTAATTCAATCAGATTTATAGGTGTTCTTGTTGTTGCTACAAAACAATCAGTGAAAACAGAGAAACCTTTTACTGAGACCTTCTGAAACGGTTGATGTTCAGAGAGAGGGGTGGGTTTCCCTTCCATTTAAGATGCAGACACAATAGCTGCCCCTCTCCCAAACTGAACAGGTTGATGCACGTTGGGAGGTTTTTCACTTTTCATTTTAGGTGTGATTACAACTGATAATAAATAGATGCTTATGTGCAATATGACTTCCATTCAGAACTATGCCTGAAAGTGAACCTGGCTTGTCCAGGTTTGGGTAGGCTGTGATTGCCTCAGTACAGTGTTTTCTTCTTGGCCTGCATCTCTTTTTGTGCTACGTTTTTCATGCATTCCTTAGAGAGGAAATGCCTCTTCCCTGTTGCAGTGAAGAAGAGAGATTTCCATGGATTTTAATGAGCTTTGGTTCCCCCTCTGACAGAGTAGCATGGCAAGAAGGTTTTGTTTTGACAGTTCTATCTCTGTGTAGAGATGTGTGGACACAGTCTCGTGTTGCACACTAACAACACACGGATGGTGACACAGACAGGGTTCCTGTGGCCTCGTGGTGCAGCAGGTAGAGATCCCTCACTGCTGACAGGTGGGGAGGAACGTGGGGCAGCTGCCCACACTGGTACTTCAGTGTGCTCTGAACACTCCAGCAGCTGAGCTGACTTGCCTTCAGAGCTGAGCTCTCCTTGCTGTGGGGAAGGAGCTCACAGTGGCTGCTGTGATCTCTGGTTCTGAGCTGTTTAAACCCTGGATGTCCCCCGGGATTGGGCCAAGCTGGACCCTTGGAAGGTCAGAGTCTTTTGTTATTGTGTTCAGTATTTCCAGCTTCTCCCAGCATCTCCTCTGCACTCTCTTTGTGAGGAACCTCCTTCACTTTTCCTTCCTGACAGGGCAGTAATGTTGCCACTGAAGTTAATGAGGACCTATGTGGACATTGCAGCATGGGAGGAATAGAGTAAATGTATTTTTTAAATTTTTCTTCTTAATTTTTCCCCTACTCTTACTGCATGCAAATTGCATGGGACACAGGACTCCTCACACGAAACTTGACTGTTGCTCTTGGTTCTGTGCAAACATCTGAACTTATTGAGGATTTCAGCTTGGAATGTCTCTGTAGTGAAATGTGATGCAGCAGTTTGAGTCTTTTATAATCTGTGATTTTTTTGTGGTTGGGCTCTTTGTAGGGGTTTGGGTTTGCTTAGATTGTGATGTGTTTTATTTGTTTGTTTGTTTTTTCCTTGTGGATTTTGTGTATATATCTGGGGGGGATGTGGCACTGCAATTTTTTGGGGGGGAGGGAGTTCTTCTTCTTTTCTTTTTTTTTTTTTTTAATTAAGTATCCCTAAATCTGCTAGATCAGTAAGAAAGCATTAATTTGGAGAAAAGTTTTGTGGGGATAGGGTCTTAATATTAAATACTTCTGTATTCACCAAGACTTTCCAGACATGCTTTCAGTCAGGATAGGAATATTTCAAAGGATCATCTTTTGAATGAAGATGGTGTGGAATCAAGGAAGGGAGGGACTGCAAAACTGAACAGTTCTCAGACTCAAAATCATTTGGGAAAGCAGCCCATTTCAGCTATATAAATTGCACCAGGCCACACTCACTGCCCTGTGTGAGAAGGAATCAGAATTTCCCCAAACTGAAATAGCATATATTGGCTTGCTGTGATCCTGTGGTGTGATGATACAGGTGATCCTGCTGGAACTTGGAACAGGGAGATGAAAGTAATCTGATTATTCAAACAACAAACAGAACTGTATGGCTTAGTTCGATCTCACAAGCTTGGACCAGAAATGAACCCAAGTTCAACATCTGGGCAGTGAGAGCACAGATGCCTTTCTGGACACCAGAGCCTGGACAAAGGGGCTCCTGTTTGTGCCCTGCCTGCCAGGCTGTGCACACAAGGCAGGGAGAGCTGCTGGGGAGCTGGGTCAGGCCCTTCCTCTGCCACAGTTATCCCACAGGCCTCAGGAAAAACATCCCGAGTTTTTGTTGCAGGGTTGTTCACCTCCACCATCGCTGCTGCTGCTTCCATCACGTGTCACCTGTGGGATGTGTTATTCGGGAATTAAACAAAGACCTCAGGAAAATATGCTGCTGTTTCTGACTTGAAAAGGCATTTATTAATGTGGAGATGTAAGGTGGGAGTCAGAGAGGGGCTGCTGTTTGTGTGCTGTGAATCACACCTCTCTGCTTGGCAAGTGAAAGTTATTTAGAGGTTCTGTGTGTTTGTCAATGGAATGTGCTCCGGGAGGGTTTTATAATGACAAAAGAAATCCTGTGCTACGTGCAATACAAAGATGAGAAAAATTATGAATTCTTACTCTACTGGGAAGCACAGCCAAAGAAACAAAGGAGTTAGAGAAGTGTAAATGTTCCTCTGGTAATATAACCTGAAATGATGCTTCTCTACATTAGTCAAAAAATGCCATTTTTAACTCTGTGGTGGGAAACACTTCAAAACACCATCAGCAAGTGTTTCCTTATCTGGCACATCTGAAAATCTGCAGCTTTATCCGATATTTTAAGTTAAAAATTACTAAAGAATGGAAAAGTTAGAAGACTATCTTGGGGTTTTTGCTGGTTTGGTGGTGGGGTTGTTGGTTTTTAGATTGGAAATTGAACCTTAATATCTGAAAAACTAAAATTATAAAGCAATACAAAGAAACAATGGTTGGTCATTCAGGAGGGCCTTCAGTGTTATCCTGCTGCAGCCTGAAGGAGGCTCTTTAAAACTCTGGTGTCATCTTAGCTATCTTGGCCATGGAGTAAAGGCCTCTTCCCTAAACTGACCTTCAGTTTAATTTGGGTGAGTAAATGTGGTGACATTCATTGTATTAATTTGTCACATTGTCCCAGATTCTGTGGCAAGAAGTTAAAAACAAAAAAGGAACAGCAATTGTTCTGGTCCTGCCTCTCTCATCTGAAATCAGCTCCAAAGCCATTCTGACATCAGTGCTCTGTGTCCTGTGAGGAGGAAGCTGCAGTCGTGGCACTGCTCTCACAGGAGCAGAGTGGGAGCTGAGTGATCTTCACGTGGTGTTAAAGTACATTCTGCAACTAAAGCAGCATCCTGGGCTGGGAGCACAGCTTTGCATGAGTGCATTGCCAGGGGTGTTCCAGCTGAGCTCCCTCTGGGCAGGAGCAGGTACACGTTGGGCTGAATGAAGGATTCCACCCAGCTCTTCTCACCGTTTCAATTCAATTACTCTAAAAATCTGTTGGTGCCAAACAGGTAAAAATTCCTCGTGTGCAGAGCCTAAATGGAGCTTTATTGTGTTGAAAGGGAAATGTTGGCATTAATATAAGGCAATGAACTGACTTTTCAGGCTAGTTTGTGAAAAATTATTTCTCTCTGGGTTCATCTGAGCTGCTGTGGTGTTTACAGAGGGAAAGAGAAGCTCTGGCTCTGTCTTGTAAGGGCGAGGAACATGGGGACAGAGTGAGAGCCAGCAATCAGGCACAGGAGGAGACTAGAGAAGGTGTCAGAAAGGGATCAGCCAGGGGAACTGTGCAGGTGAGTAGAAAAGTATTTAGATTAAATAATTGAAGTTTAAATTTCGAGGCTCCGTGAAAGTGTAGTTCACTGGAAAACTGGGAAAGCCCTGCTTTATTTCTGTGAGTGTGTCTTTGGGCAGGGATAGGACACTGGTGTAGGACATGCACCCTGGGAGAATGGCAAGGAGTGCTGTTAAAAGGAGTAAACACAAATTCCATGGGTTTTCCCAAAAGCTTGTCCATAGTTTAGCCTCATCTCTTTTGGGCTGTGTAGGGGGTCTGGATTTCTCTGTTCTACTGATGTCCAGCAACAATATTCAGAGATGTTGCTGCTACTTGGGGGAAATGTGTAATATAAGGTTAGTGAAAAAAGGCTCCTGTGATAACCCTCTGAAGACTGTGTTTTGGAGAAACACTGTGTTGGGAGTGATATTCATTCCAGATAAGTTGATCAGTTGTGTGACATGGGTAACTCCATTTACTGCACACATCAAACTGAAACCAGGCCCCTTAAGGCTGATTCACTGCCTCGTTAGCAGCCAGTGACAGTCCTTCAGCACCAGGTGATGTGTTTGGATGTGCTTTGTCCTGAGACACCCTATTTCTGTGTAAAATGTAGAATTTCAAGAGAAGTCTGGGACACAGAGGACTGCAAGGGAACAATCCAAAGGTGCCAGAGGCACAGACCAGTGTCAGCCATGTGGAAGCATAATATTGGTGAAAGCCTGAAGAACATGTGATGATGGGGAAGGGGCTTTGATATATTAATAATATTCAAGCATGATCAATTTATACACTACCTACAATTTACATAGACTTAGATAAGGTTGAAATCCTTCAGATTACCCTCTCAAAAGCACACACTGTGTATTTGTTCCACCTAATCCTCACTGGTGGTTCAGACTCTTCAGAAGGGATAAATCAGGAGCAAACTCACCACACCACGTGACTCAATTGCCACCTCAAAACTATTCCTGAGCTAAATGTGGGACATCCTGCACATCCATCAATCTGCCTGTCACCTCTCCCACCTCCACCTCTCATTGTGCAAGGGATTGGCTTTTTGGCAAAGTGCTAATAAAATTACCAAGGTCCAATTTTTCAAATCAAAAGCTGGATCTCTGCTTTGGGGCTCCATTTTCTTCCTAAGAGTCTAATGAGGAGGGACAGGCAATTATTATTATTTATTTCACTAATTAGCTGGATAATCATTCATTGTAAAACTCTTCTGTGTTAGAAATATGTTCCTTGTACACTTTGTTTAACAGTTTCCTTTTTATCAGACTGAACCACTGTATGACATCTATTATTAGTGGGGCAATGGGGGGCACTTGGAAAAAAAAGGGGGAAAGAAAAAAGGATAATTTTTGGTCTGCAAAGATAATGCAACAAGAAGCAACAGTCCATAAAAACATCTCCTTTCAGTCTCTGAAGACATAATGCTTTATGATAACCATAAAACATTTTAGTGCAAAATAAATTGCTGTCCTATTCAAATCCTTAAATGTACTACAGTGGATGTCACTGAAGACATACAGCTATTTTTTCCAATCCTGAGATATATTTTATCATAATTTGTAGTGTAGGTGACAACCTTGCACACATGATTGCCTTTTCTTGCTTAGTTAGCTTGCCAAGGTCAGAGTCCTTTGGCCTTTTATGGATGTAGAACTATTAGGGAATAAACCGGATAACCAAGTAGCAGAAAACAAAACTTGTTTCCTCGACTGGTTAGTCAGATACCCTTTGAAGAGTTCATGGTGTTCTGAGTATGTACTTACTGAGAATTACCTCTTTTTAAATGCTATGACAGATTCTTCTCACTTGTAAAACACACAGGTGATTTTTCTCCTTTTCTTTTCTTTCTCTCTTTCTTTTAAATTAATTTTCATTTAGTTATGTTTTTTTTTTCTTTTCTAGCTAATTAATGGCATGTTGGCTTTGAAGCTGCTGTGAGGAGAACCAGGAGTGGCCACTGAGCCAGGCAAGCCCCTCCATTTCCCCACAGCTGAATTCTTCAGAGGTCATTTCACGTTGTGCCGCTGGTGAGGTTCTCGGGATGTGCATCCTCAAGGAGCCTCTGGAGTTTCCTGTCCACTTTTTGCATCAAAGCAGCTGAGAAGAGGGTTTATTCTGAAGTATTTTTGTGTTACTTCTGCTGATGATTGTGCATAAGTAGGAAAACATTAGTAGTGGTGACCAATTTAGCAGCATCATTTAGGAGACACACCTCCACCCCATAAAAGTATCTACCTAGGCTGATTTGTTTGATTTTGATATAAAATGTGATAGGCCATTGAATGGAATGAAAAAAATATTGATAAAGTCTATATGGAACCACAGAAATGTGTAAGACACGGTTGGTGACATTGATGTAAGATCTATACAGGTGTGAAGGAAAATAAGAGTATAATGCATTTTATATGTTTGCCTTTAAAATGCACTGAAGTTTTTGAAACAGAAAATTGATCACAATAAAATTTTACTGTCTGTCTTGAGTTGTTGGGATGAAATTGTGCCTCAAAGGAAACCACTGGGGTCTTTAATGTAACTGAAAATTCAGCTACGAGGGTCCATTTGTGTGTTGATTGGTGGTGATGCTGTATTTAAAAACTACATTTTTTCCACTCTGGTGTGGAGGACCTTTTATTCCATGGCTGGTGAACAAAGGTTGTTAGCATTCAACATTTTGCTAACACCTTGAAGGGATAGGTGTAAAATTGCCTGGCAGTTTGCTCCAGAGAACTGTTTTTCCACACGAAGGATCCAACGTGAAAAGTTCAGGAATCCACACAAACCTGCTGGTTTGGAAGAAGGATATTTGGGGTTGTAGACCTGTGCATTTGTGTGAGCCAGTTCCTGTGAAACCCCTGGCAGGGCAAGAATTTCCATTCTTCCTTCAAGTGCTGCTTCCAGTGGGTCCTATTCACTTCAAAATGGCCTAGAAAAGGTTTAAAATGATTTCTGTGTTCCCAATATTTTAAAGGTGGTACATTTTAAACAAGAAGTGTCAACCAGGAGCTGGCTAACCCCTAAGAGAGGGTTGTGAGCAACCTTTTAGGATTCTCAACCATATATTACAGCATCTATAACGTATGTATCCCTTATTAAACTATTTAGAAATGTGCAATTAATATAACATGACTTTCTTGATGTGTACATAATGTGATTGGCAACCACACCGTGTAAGAAAATAGTTATCCCGGGAGATGGGGATATTGGAGTTTTATTCTCTCTTTTTAAATGTTTTCCCAGTTGTTGTTCATTGCTTGTTGGCAGTTTATTTTAGATTTTACAAATAATAAGAGCAGCAGCAATAGTAATGTTTAGCTTTTGGATTCAACAGACACATATATTTTAATCTAAATGACAATATTTAGGAACAAAATTGCTTCATTTTAACTTCACTGCATTTCTTAATCTGTGGAAACTATAATTTAAAAATAATGAATGCAACAGGGTGAATATATAGCTTCCATTAATTCCAAATACTGCTTATTTCCAGCACTTTTTAATTATTTGAATATACTTCTCCATATATTTAACTGGAGTGGAAAAATCATTCAAACCTCAGACCATTTACAATTACCAGTGTATCTGTAACTCTCCATCCAAATTATTGAACTTCAGGGTAACATTTCATTTTGAGTACCTATTTTTCCTGTGTTTTGGGAAGTGCTGCAATAGTTGAAAAAAGTTGTGAAGATGCAGGTTTCATAAACAATGAACATCATAGGACGTGAATTAATAAATTGCAAGTTCTGTCTAGAAATTGTGTTAGAGGGCTGACTTAAACCCAAGGATATTAAGTATGGTAACTGAGGATCTGTTCTGCATCTTGCACTATTTTATCTTAAAATGATTCTTTCTCAGAGAAGCAGGGATCCACAGATAGATGTATTTCTTCCTTTTTTTTTAATGTATTCTTGTGGACTTGTTTGTGTTCAAATAGACCTGGGCCATCGTGAAAAATTAGTTCAGACATTACCATGTGTTGGGTAATAAGCATTTGGGCAAATAAACCCTCCTTCCCTTGCTGCTTAAAAAGAGAAAACGAAACCAAAACATCCCCTTGGTTGCTGTGGATCCTGGTCAGCTCCTGGGTTTTCCAGCAGGGAAATAGGCTGTTCTCAGGCTGCCATCCTCCAGGAGGAATCAAAACACCCAGTAAAGAACTCTTGTGGCATCAACTGCTTTTCCAGGAGACCAGAATTAATGAACTTCTGCAGTCTCAGGGCAGGCTGGTGCTGAGTGTGGCAGGTGTGGGGTTTGTGCCTCAGCTCATGTTTTGCCTGCCACGCTTGCAGGGGTGAGGAGAGCAACCCTTGGGGCACAGTCTGCTTGCTGGAGAGGCTGTGGTGGTTGTTCTTTGCTGCTGTGCCATCTGAGCAAGCTCTGTCAGTGTGGGAAGGGTGATGAGAGCTGGGAAAACACAAATTACCCTGTGAGGTTGTTTCAAGAGCTACACCCTCCCACTGACAGGGCTTCGCTGTTGAGTTCTTCATTTACTCCAAGGTTAGTTTGTCCACTGTTCTTCAAGGCCCTGTGCACTCTGCCTTCGTTTGCACTGGCACATGAACTCTGAGTTTTCTCTCTTCGTGTCTCTTAGGCTGACACACCAGATCTTCTTATCTTTTTGTGCTGGCTTCTCTATAGCTGTGATAGTTTGGGGCTCTTTTCCTCCTGTGTGCCAGATCATTAGTTCCCCTCCAACGGAGTCCTTCTGATACAGAAATCCTGTTTTGCAAGGGCACTCAGAGTTAATATCTCACAGGAACTCCACTCCAAGAGAAACATGTGTTTGTGATTGAGCCTCTTATTTCCCTGTTAGTTGGTATTTTATTCCAGAACTCTGTCTTCCTGTGGTTGCAAATCCATGATTCGTCTCTAAACAAGTGTTGCTGACAGAGGTCAGTGAGGGGCTGAGTGATGACAGTGGATCAAGCACTAAACTCTTTGCTCAGTTTCCATTCCAGGTACTATGAAACATTTTTCTGATTTGGAGTTTAAACAGGGAAATAATCCATGAAGAAGCTGACGTGTACATAAAGAAACACTTCGCAGTGGGGACTGGCTCAGGCAGAGGATGTCTGACCAAAATGACCTTCCATAGAGAGAATAAAAAAATAATTATTTATCTCTAGTGAGCCACAGCTTTTCCTTTTGTGTTCCACATGCTCTCCTACAGGCAACTGGTATGTAGGATACATGGTGGGGTTCTCTTTCCTGAGAGCTGTCAAGACTTCTGAGACGATAAGAAGTTTGCAGTAGTTCAAATCAATCACAGTCATAGAATCACAGAGTGGTTTGGGTTGGAAGGGACCTTAAAGATCATCCAGTGCCACCCCCTGCCATGGGCAGGGACACCTTCCACTAGCCCAGGTTGCTCCAAGCCCTGTCCAACCTGGCCTTGGACACTTCCAGGGATGGGGCAGCCACAGCTTCTCTGGGCAACCTGTGCCAGGGCCTCCCCACCCTCACAGGGAAGAATTTCTTCTAATATCCAATCTAAACCTGCCCTCTTTCAGTGTGAAGCCATTCCCCCTTGTCCTGTCAGTCCATGCTCTTGTCAATAGTCTCTCTCCATCTTCCTTGCAGGCTCCCTTCAGGTACTGGAAGGGCACAATTAAGTCACCCCAAAATGCTCAAAACTTCAGCCTGTGTTGAGCTGGAACACCAGGAACTGGAGGCCTTTACCCAGATTGTCTTAATTAGATACCTAGTAATTACTCCAGCTGGAGATTACAGATGTGAAATGAGAGGCACTGGCATTGTCAGAAGCTTGTGTAGGTGTAAGAATCATTCCTTGGTATGAAATCTCCTTATTTGACAAAAGTTGGTAAAACCTGCAGGCAGCTCCCGAGACTTTGCCTCCGATGTCTTCAGAACATTCCAGCCAATTTACAGCAACTCTGTGGTTATTTGCAGGCTCAGGGCCCCAGAGCTGGGGAACTCAATAAATAAGAGATGTATATAACTAAATATAGCACCTCTACTTAATCATTTCATTCCCTTCCACCTGCTTCCAAAGAACAAAGTTTCGGGCAAAAATCCCTCCTGTCAAGTCTCATCTCTGTTCCCATATTTCTGAGTGAATTGCTGCTCCCCACTGCCCCTCCCAACAGGAGTTCACACAAGTGCAGCAAGACCTTATTATTCTGTTTATGATGGGATGGTCTGTTCCAGCACAGTGCAGTCCACAGTAAATCCATCTGCAGAATTAATGCTGGGCTGGGAGAGAGAGAGGCAAGGAAAAGGGATGATTTACAGTTTGGAGACACAGCTGATATGAAAATAAACATTGAATCAGTTTGTCCTATATGTCTTAGTTCCATTAGAATAATGACAGTAGGTGACATTTTTCACATTTTAATTGGTGTTTTGCTGATTTTATCAGAATTTCTGCTGATCAAAGCAAATTGGCTATTTATTTATTTTGCAGTGATGCTAACTAATCAGTGGAAGTTTAATGTACTGTAATGAATTTTAAATATCCTCCTAGTCATTACAAGTGTGTGAATCTAGACTCTCTTTCTCATAACAGTTTAAATAATTAATTACTTGAGTAGCAAAAAAGGTAACATTTAATATAATAACATTTTCTTTGAAATATTTCAGTGCATGATTTATAGTAGCATCTCAAATTAGTGAAGGGTAATTCTGACCAGTGTATCACCCCTGCATGCACACACAGCTTGCTTAACCTAATTCTGACTGCAGAATTCTGATTTAGGCAGATAGTAAACACCTTAATTATTAGTTTATTTCAGTAGTTTACTAAATTATATTTTTTACATTATTTATAATTCAATATCTTTGTTTTAATTGGTTTCCTTTTTGTTATTTATCCACACAGATATATCATAGAGATTTTTTAAAAAGTAATGACATGTTTTATGTCATAGTATTGTTTCCTGTCAATCATGGCATGTCATAAATTGTCCTCATGAGTAGAAAGAAAAAGGCAATTTGGGTTATTGTAAAATGACAGAATCAGTAGGAGACTTGTGCTGCTCAAAAAAATGTTTTAGTATATTATTAAACACTCGTCACACCCGTGGAAATCTTGCATCTGAATCACTAGGTCAGATCCAGATCCTGTGCATAGGGAGTAGAGAAGTTCTTTTAAATGTCTGTTTGGATCATTTTGAGTGTCCAAATAAGAGACTTGAGCCTTCTCCAGGAACATCTAAATGTGGAAATTCTAGACTGATTTCAAAGTGCAAAGTGTAAATACTTAAATTTCAGCTAAAGTAAGAATCCTCTTAAGGCTTTTTTTATTTATTTTTTAAATTTTGGCCTCTGAGAGATATATGGAAGCAGTTCATGAATTTTGAGTTTGGTTTTTTTTTTTGTAGTGATGTTTTAATAAACAGTAACATTTTAATAAAAAAACATTCTAAAGTCACGGGCTGGCTGTTATGCCAGTGATTAGATTCTGAACTTGCTTGTTAAAATTCATCTAGCACTGTCTATAACTGTGAGATAAAGACAATCTCAAATGAAGAGTGAAATGGTGTTAGTGGAACAGAAAGCATCAGACTCATGCAGAATTCACACCTTCCAGTGAGAGGCTGTCGAGAGAGTCAACTTAATTGTAGGAAGTTTTGGGTCTGGTTTGAGAAATAAATTCAGACGGTTTGGAACTAGGCTGGATTTGAATGAAACGACACAAATGGGAATTACAACATCAATATCAAATTAACCCACAGACAGGTGGTTTCTCTCTGTCTCTGACCATTCCAAGATCTTTAGACACGGCCAGTTGTCAGAGGAGCCTGGGAAGGGTCATCCCTGCCCACGTGGAAAGCACCAGCCCCTGGCTGGCAGGCAGCAACCTCTGCAGGGGTGCAGCCTGAGGGATGCTCCGATTCCAGGGTCTGGTTGACTCTCTTCATCATTCCCTAATTCATTTGCCAAGCTGGGAACCTGTTGCTTTGAAAATAAATTTCCAGGCTTGACTTGGGCAGCCCCTGGAAATGCCCTCCCACGGCTGAGCTACAGGAATTGCTGTGTCCAGTCTCAGGAAAATGAGGCACCGTGTTCCAAAAGGTACATGAATCCCCCCATTATTCATCACTGCAAAGGTTTGGTCTTAATTTACCAAATAAAGCATGGAATCTGAACAGGCTTCTTGTCTTTGAGGTGGACAGTCACCCTGATGGGTGATAATATCCCAAAGAATGGGATATTATGGGCCAGTTTGTGCCTGAGGGACAAGTTTCTCTCCTGCAGTTGCTATAATGATGACAGGAAGCCAAGAGAGCTTCTTTGATTATCAAAAAAATAATGAACAGATTAATACGTGTAAGATGTTTTGATTATTATTTACCTCCAGAATATGTTGAGTTTTACCTTTGCCACCACAGCAAAATGGATATAATATTCCCAAAATAATACTGATGAAAAGCTTTCTCAAGGGCATTTTATAAAAAGACACTTAAAAAGTAAAAGGATAAACACTGATATATTGTAATTTTATTTGTTGTCTGTTGCTTCTTGTAGTGCATTTAACATGTAAAAAAAGACAGAGCTGTGATTTGTGGAATGAGACTGATTTTGTACCAAACTTTTTCCTTACTTATCAGTAGCTATGCTGGAATCTCTCTGGTCTGTGGGGGTTTGGTAGCTTGAGGAATTAATGAATATTCATTCCTTTTCCCTGGGTACAAAGTAAAATAACTAGTAATTAGTATAATATTTAATACTCCTATTCAAAATAAATAAATCTTTTGTGAAAAAAATCTAATTATTATAATGTAGCAACTTCTGCGTGTGTAACTGAAATTGGATGTGCTGTTTTGAAAATGCTTTTAAGCCCTCATTTACATGTTTCCAGATCAGTTAATTATTCCCCTTGTATGCATAAAACAGAACTCTGGATTGTACTTGCATATATTATTCATTTTGCTATCTTCTAAGTTTAGCTGATTCTAATATTTTAATTTTACATTATTATTATACCAGTGATATTTGTCTTCTGATATGAAAGTTGTTCTTGTCTGCACTTAGTTTTATGCTCATTTTTAAATGAAACAGCTTCCATGGTCATGAGTGTGACATCACAACTTGACTCCCGTGTTTTGCTTCTCACACTGAATCAGCCACACTTTGTGTTTCTGTCCCAGCAGGGTGTTCACATGGGGACTGTGGGGTCACGAGCTGGAGAGAAATGCAGCTGAGAAAATGATGAGCAGGAGGTTTTGCTGACCCCGTCATGTCACATATTTTTCTTTATTTTTGGGAGAATTAGAATTTTCAGTGACCTGTGGATAAGTGACAGGGCTTTGGCTGGAGCTGACAGCCATGGGGCATGAGGGACTGTGGGGTGGGGAGTGCTCCTGTTGGATGGAAGTTCAAGTTCAAGGTTAAGGATGGCAGAAAGGATGACATAAAACACACATGGGGGTTCAGGAAGAGCTGTGGGATGCAGAGTGGGAAGTGCTAGGGAGGAGTTAAGAAGCAAAGACAAGTAGCTGGTTTAAATGAGGTTAAGATCCCACAGCATTTTATGGACACACACAGAGCAAGAGTTTGAAGGATGGTGACCAAAAAGGAAATTGTATTAAATAGACATGGAAGAAAGAGGTTTGTCACACTAGAGGATCTTTTCCTCTCTCACACAAGGCATTACTCTCTTTTAAGCTACTTCTGAGAATACAGAAGGAAAGCTGGTAGAACTGTGGTCAGCAAGATGGAGGTTTTTGGTCTGTATGGGTCAATTTATACACAGGGAGCCACATTAAAAGCCCATGACCAACTTTTCCAAGTCCACCCTGAGTGCTGACTTCACTTAGTTCAGCTTTACATGTGTGTCAGTATTACAGCACTATTTATTTTTCTACAAGATCCTGACCATTTCCAGGGCCAGGACTATCATGTTTGCACTTTAGTACCTTATTTTCTCTATTCAAACACGACACATTTATTCAGTATATGCTTTTCAAACTTTGAAGAGCAAATGACTGATTTACCCAAGGGGCTATTCAGTTTTTCAAACATTAATTGTTTTCACCTTTATGGAGTGAATGAACAGGATTATCCCCATTACAGAGGTTACTAGTTGAGGTACA